CTTAAATGAGCATTTAAACTTTAGAAATGGTATGCAGAAATATTACTTCATAGTATGTTTTTCTAGTAAAATACAAGGGCCTTTTACAGGGCATTTCCACACAAAAAAAGCTGACTTCTTTACTCACAAAGCATGTTATTTTAAGATTCATTAGACCCCTTTTTCCTCTGTAGGGCATATCAGCCATTAAAAAGGAGTGCTAAAATAGGATGGGACTTCCTAGTCTTAGCATCTAAACTTAACATACTGAACCACAAACACATACATGGCTTTTAAAAGATAATTTGTGTTCTTTTGAAAGTAACATGAGCATTAAGGAGTTTGGATTTTCTGGGTGAAATCTTGATTCCACTGAAATTGTTAGATGTAAATAGGTATTTTCAGTTGGGCCAAAATGTCTCAATGTATTTTTATGGCATGTCAATCAATAATGCCTTTTTAATAAGGAAACATCTGCTTATGTGATTTTTCAGATATGATATCTTATAGTTATACATAGTGTCTTTCATCATGGGGGGGTCCCAAAGCACTTAACAAATCCTCTTATGTATAGATCCAACAGATAAATTTACTCACCTTTAAGATGCAGACTCTCTGAGGTGAAATGCAGTAGTTATTAGTACATAGCATCACTTGAGAACGATTTAAGACAGGAAGTGAAGAATAATGCCATAGCCAGTTGAAATTGGAGAGGGAATTCAAGGAGGCAGAATATTATTACCCAAATTGAAATTTTGCCAGGACATGGAAATTAACACCCTCAACTTTACAAAATGAGTAGTGGGATCTTTATCAATTTTAGGGGCTCTGTTATTTCATGTTAAGGCTTATTTGAAGAAACGACGAGGAGTCCTGTGGCATCTTATAGAGCTTTCGTGGGCAAAGACCCACTTCGTCAGATGCATGTAGTGGAAATTTCCAGAGGCAGGAATAAATATGCAGGCCAGGATCAGGCTGGAGATGACGAGGTGGATCCAATCAAGGAGGATGAGGCCCACTTCTAGCAGCTGATCTGGAGGTGTGAATTCCAAGAGAGCAGAAGCAGTCTTAGACTGTGAATGGCTTGCTAACTACAAAAGCAGCTTCTGCTCTCTTGGAAATTCCTGCCTCTGGAAATTTCCACTACATGCATCTGACGAAGTGGGTCTTTGCCCACGAAAGCTTATGCTCCTACACTTCAGTTAGTCTATAAGGTGCCACAGGACTCCTCGTCGCTTTTGCAGATTCAGATTAACACGGCTTCCCCTCTGATATTTGAAAAAAGACACCTCAAAAACAAAGTGCTTCTTTTGCTCCAGGCTGGAATACTGAAGTTGGGTATAATAAGGTTTAGGGAATACTGTAGTCACTTAGGTTCAAAAGACTTTCCAAATGCATCCCGGTGAGTTTCTCATGCTTTTTTATGTATTTTTAGAAAGCAGAAGCAGCTACAACTCCCTGAGATGCAGTATTTTTCCTTGTTACTTTTCCTTTTTTTGTTCTTGCTTGGCCATTTTTAATAGTCTTTTTCTAAACAGGATATAATTTTGTAGATTATAAATAATGGTGAAAGGTTGCATTCTCTACATTATTTAGTTTCATACTTGAGTGCAGTGAAAAGTGGTTCCATTAATTAATGAGCCACAAAAATTCCAGCTGTTGGCCACACAATTATTCCTTGTGCTGGCACAAATGCATTTCCTTCCTCTCCCCATGCCTGTGTTTCATTTCAGTCTGTAGAATGGTGTTTGCCTATACTCTGTGAACACTCTTGTGACACAGCCATGGAAAAATATGTCTTTTTTGTTATAAATTATATATTTGATTGTACCTCCTGACTTGTGCTTAAAAAGAATGGAATGCAATGATTTTACTTGTGGTTATTATAATACACAGTAAAAGGCCCCGACTTCAAATTGAAGATGGTTATGGTGAAATGTAAACAAATTCAGACCCAACTCCTCATCCAATTTTAAGATACTAACTAGGGCTCTAGTGGTCAACTTGTTAAAATAAATTAAACCAGTTAAATGAATTTGGTGCTGGATTTAGAGCCCTAGAGACTGAAACCCTCTCTTTTATTTGTGGGATAAGACGCTGTTGGTTGTAAAAGCTGTTACCCAGTGTTGTGACAGTGTGCTTTTTAGTCGTCTGGAAGGACCTCTTGTTACTTCCTCCTCTTCTTGTCTGTTCCATGCCTGGCTTGGCAAAAGCCAGGCATGATTGACAGAGGCTTTTGGTCTCAAATGTGGTAGTGGTTATTTAGGTGGGCAATATCTACTAGGAACTGAACCAAGACCACCCCACTTTTTGCATAATCCCCAAATAGTCACTAGAAGAAAACAACTTTCAATTACTACTAACCTGGGTCAATTTAGGTATGTCTACACTACAGCATTATTTTGAAATATCTTATTTAGAAATAACGCGTCTAGACACAAAATGCATTTCAAAATAGCTTTTTTGCTATTTCAAAATAGCACGCCCACACTTATTGGATGCCTAATCACATTTAAGGCCAGCTGGAACTGGTTCCGGCAGGGCATCAGGTCAGAAATTCCTTGTGGCCAGGGCGGCCAGCAGGGCATCCTGGGAAGGGCTGGAAGCCCCCTATTTTGAAATAAGCATCTACACAGCACTTATTTCGAAATAGCAATTTCAAAATTGGCACTATTCCTCGTGGAATGAGGTGTACCAATTTCGAAATAAGACTTCCGCTATTTTGAATTAATTTCGAAATAGCAGTTGGCTTGTGTAGACGCTTGGAAAGTTATTTCGAAATAACGGCTGTTGTTTCGAAATAACTTTGCTATGTAGACATACCCTTTGGAATTGCAACTTTTTTTTGAGACAAGAATTGCATGTATTTTTAAATTAAACTATTTTATTTAATGAAAAGCAACATGCTTCCCCTTATGAGTATCATGCAGTGGTTAAAGCACATGACAGAGACTAAGGGGACAAGTTCTATTGTTGGCAATGGCATGGACTTGTGATCTTAGGTCATTTAACCATTTTCAATCAGGCTACGTCTACACTACAAGTTTTCTCGGCAAACAATATGCAAATGTGTCATTTGCACGAGTCGTGATCTCATTTGCATATTTTCTGCCGATCTGTTTTTGCACTGGGGTTCAAGTTTCCCTGCTGTCCCTACAGTGTGAGGCCAATGGGAGCATTGCTATGATTGTCATTAATATTTTATTAATGTGTTCATACCTTGCTCTTCCATTCCAAATATTCATTGTGATGTGTCTGAAATAGACTCCATTCTTTTCCTTACCCACTAGGCATATACAGGTCATCATACTCCCAGTACATGCACACATTCAAATCATTAATTTCTAGGTCCTTTTTTTCCTTCATGAAGTACTTTGATATTTCTGTTATAGTACTAACAGTGTAACCATCTTACAAATAATACCGTGGAAAAGAAAAACACTATTGGGGGTACTTGAACTCTTCATATTTTAATCTAACATATTCATTAGATTATACATGAGCTGCTCATCCTAAAACCAAATAGTTACAGAGCACTGGAAGAGTAACAGGTGGAATCCTACCCTTAATTTTTTCTGCAATATAATAATAATGCCTGGTGGAAAGACATAGGACTTCAATTCCCAAGCTTGCTAAGCCCTTATCTTTCATGAACATTAAATTTACATTTAAAGCTATTTATTCAAAGTTGCTTTAACCACTAGAATAGGGAAGATCAGACAAATCAGTTGTAAGAAACAAAGTATGAGGAAACCAGAACTCTTTGACAAAAATATTCCTTGGAGTAAATATGTTGAATGAAACTAGCGGGTAAATGATAAGGGCCTTTACAATCTGGATGTAAGAAAGCAATTCATCAAGAGTACATGAAGTCTCTGGTGAATTCAAGAAGAAATCAAAGTATAGGAGGTTACACTGTTAGTACTATAACAGGAGGAATCACTACAATATTATTTTAAATGCTCAAAAAGTTCTATTTAAGACAATCGTCTGAAAGTTTGGGTGCTGTGATAGAATCCATAAAATGGAAAGGAAATTGACAGCAAAATGGTATATGCTGAAATGTATGATGCCATGTATAACTCCATCACATTAAACATCACATAATGAGATAAAGAATTACGAGATGCTCCTCCCAGCAAACCAAAAATAAAGCCCAAGCCTTTGGAAAACTTCCTTTGTTATTAATGTCTTTTGATTGTAAAAATCATACAAAAGAGCTAAGTTGAATTGAAACTCGTATTTTTTCCAGTGCAATAATTAGCAGCTACAGATTGACCCTCTCTAGTCCAGCATTCTTGGTACCTGACTAACACCAAACCAGAGAATTTGCGAAACCATGGGAGGTCAATATTGTCTAGCAGCATTACCAATACTTTCACTGCTTATTGGGATCTTAAAAGACATTTAGGGTTAAGTTAGAGGTAAATAACAGCACAGAACACTGAGAGCCAGGACTGGTGGCTGCAAACAAATATTATGGGACCACAGGAAACTTGGCCACACCCAGGATAAGTGGGCAATCCAGCTAATTAAATCATATGGGACCATCAATGTCTCCAAACCACAGAGTGCTGGACTGGAGAGGCTTCACCTGTAGTTCAGTTAGCAGTGAATTGATTACTCCAGTTTACAATTGTGTGTGGCAACAGTTTTTAAAACATTGCAGTGGATTCTTTTCTCTGTAGATTAAAGCTCAAATTTTAGTCACCCAATGTGAGAGACCTAATTCTTCAGAGATTGTGCGTGCCTAGAACTCTATTTGTAGTTAATGGGAACTGTGAGTCCTCAACATCTTTGAAAACCAGCATGGCACATAAAAACCTAAGTATGAAACATTAGCGAAGACTCTTGAACATTTGAGCTTACTGCTCAATCTGTAGTAAAGAAAATACACTTGGTGTCTATGGAAGAGTCACTCTGACAGAATATTAGATATGCTTCAATAATCTTACTTTTATTTTTATTTTCCTCTCTCCCCATCTCTGTTTCTACGCTTCCTCCCAACCTGTGTCTGTCAGCTTTGGACAAACTTAGCACTCAGCATCTGTATCACCCTACCCAAGTGGAGATTGTGCAGTCCAACGTAGTGTTTGACATCAGCAGCCTGATGCTCTATGGTACCCAGGCTGTGCCTGTGAGACTGAAGATACTGCTAGACCGACTCTTCAGTGTATTGAAGCAGGAAGAGGTGCTACACATTCTACATGGCTTAGGCTGGACACTTCGAGACTATGTGCGGGGCTACATCCTTCAGGTAAGAAAAGGTTTAAAGCATGTTGCTGAAATGGTTTGGCTGACCATTATTTTGTATGTTGAAGTTACTAACAGTTGTATACTCAAAAAGCTTTTATTTTACTAAAAATCTGTCTTTTAATTGTGGCTCTTTAGGTCAATATATAACAGAGATGTATATGACATGTGTGGCAGATGATGACCATGGTACAGCATGTAAAACTTCCTAGTTTTACCTAAGACACAGATTTCTCAGCATCCACAATATTCCCTTTTAGTTCCCTACAGTTAAGGTAGGAAATACCTTGAATACTGTAAATACTGAGGTTACTTAGCTCTAAGCCTTACTTAATCAATTAAGGCAACTGACATGTTTTCAGGAGCTTCCTCTCAACTTCTATAATCTGAAGTCCAGTGCGACTGCTACTTCAACTTTTCCTTCCTTCCTTCCTTTTTGAGGGAGTGGGCTTTCCTATAAGGTATTAAAAAGCCATTTCCTTATATAAGTTCATGGTTAAAAGCTACGCTTTGACTTTTTTAAATGTGGTGTGTAAATCTGTTCCCTTAGTAAAACTGTAACAGCTTGATTTAGTCACAAAAAAGTGGCATTTCTATGCTTCCTCTTCACCCAGTCACCTGCATTAAAATATGCCAAGATGATTTATTATGCTAACTGATCAAACGGGCAAATTGCGATAGGTTTCCATGGAAGTTGGGGGTACTCAACACATTACCCATTTAAACCCATAATTTGGACAAACCAAATGAGCCAGCCTTGATTTTGAAGGTTACTATTATTGTATTTTTTATTTATTTTATTAATTTATTTTGGCAAAAATAACATAGTTGGCGTGGTTCAGAACACAGAGGAGTCTTTGTTCCTGCCCAAAGGAACTTTCAGTGCTTATTTCTTCTATTGCCTTTTTTATGCAACGTCCTTTCTGTAGAGGAAGCACATTAGCCTGCACAGAATTACACAGAGTCCTTAATAATTTCTTTGAAAACATGATATATCTTAAAACTCCTAAAGATTTTCATCATAAACAGTTCTGCTTTGTAGAATAGTCTAGGGGGAAAAAAGAATAAAAGGCTAACTACTGCGTTGAGGTCCTGCTACCCTTCTCAAGTTTTTTACATTATTTTGGCATTCTTTATGGGTTTTTGAAAAGCTAAATGTTACAGGTGTCCATATGTAAAATATAATCTGCTATGATTTTAACTCAGTTTCAGAAATTAGAATTGATCTTTTCAGAAAACATTAATGCAGTGTGTCGTTGTACATGCTGTAGTTGCTAATATGTGGCTTGTACTGTTGACAGACTATGGATATTTTTAAGTGATGCCATGTATGCTTTACATTAAATGTTAAATTCCTGAATTCAGATAGTTCCATATGACAAACTTGTGCCTGTTTACGAGGCAAACTGTTCATTTTTAACCATAATAAAAACCAAGAATAAAATATACAGTCTGAAACAACATTGCAAACATGGGGCCTGATTCAGTAATCCTTGCAGACAAGAGGAGTCTCCCTGAAGTCAGTGGCTCTTCTTACTTATGTGTTCCAGAATCAGGCAATTATCTATTGGAAGGATCTGAAGACATGCAAGCATAGCATGTAATATAATTATATAGAGGATTATAAACAGTCACACCGTGCATCTGAACGGTGTAAAGCCCCATAATACACCATTAGGCTAGAGGTCAGTTTATCTGGCTAAAACTCAATCGTATTGTAGTCCTCAAGGCATCAATTTTACCATTATTGCACTCAACAACAGTATATTGAATATTATGTCAGTTAAAGAGAATAATTATTGAGGCGAGTTAAGGGCGGCTGTTAAAGTCTTACCACATATTGACTTGGTTTGCAATTGGCTGTAGATTGTGTTGCTGGGCAGATTAAGACGTACTGCAAGAGACTTAGTCAAGTCTGTCTATTCGTTTTAGCTCTCTAATTTTGTTTATATTAAAGCTAGGAAATAGGGTATATGGAGGGAAGAGAGAGACCACTTCATAAAACATGTTTAATAAAACCTGAAGGACTTTGATCAAATCATTGGTACCTAACATTACCTTTTATATTTTGGTCTTGAAATAAATAAATGCATTGCAAATCACTTTTTTCTTTAGCGAAGGAAGGTGGTGAAGGTAGATTTTGTAGGGGAACACTTGGTATTCTAGCCACTTGCATTTTGAGTTCACAATAGTGAGTATTATAGTTAATGACGACCGTATTTAGCGCAGAGGTCAGCAACTCCCGGCATGTGTGCCACAAGCGACAGGTGAGCTGATTTTCACTGGCGCACAGGACGGGAGCACATCCCTGCCCCATCTCCCATGTAGCAGGGAGCTCTTGCTGCGGCTCCAGCCTCAGCCATGCGGATGTAGCAACACTACACTCACACTAGTGAGAAGTGTAAGGTTATGCATTTAGGGATTAATAACAAGAATTTTAGTTATAAGCTGGGGACACATCAGTTGGAAGTAACGGAGGAGGAGAAGGACCTCGGAGTCCTGGTTGATTATAGAATGACTATGAGCCGCCATTGTGACATGGCCATGAAAAAGGCTAATACGATTTTGGGATGTATTAGGCGAGGTATTTCCAGTAGGGATAAGGAGGTGTTAGTGCCATTATACAAGGCATTGGTGAGACCCCATTTGGAATACTGTGTGCAGTTCTGGTCTCCCATGTTTAAGAAGGATGAATTCAAACTGGAACAGGTACAAGGAAGGGCCACTAGGATGATCCGAGGAATGGAAAACCTGTCTTATGAAAGGAGACTCAAGGAGCTTGGCTTGTTTACTTTAACCAAAAGAAGGCTGAGGGGGGACATGATTGCACTTTTTAAATATATTAGAGGGATAAATACCAGGGAGGGAGAGGAATTATTTAAGTTTAATACCAATGTGGACACAAGAACAAATGGATATAAGCTGGCTAGTAGGAAGTTTAGACTTGAGATTAGACGAAGGTTTCTAACCATTAGAGGAGTGAAGTTCTGGAACGGCCTTCCAAGGGAAGTAGTGGGGGCAACAGATCTATCTGATTTCAAGATGGTTTGATGAGATAACATGATCTTGGTAACTAATTAACCATTCATTATCAGTGGGCAATAGGTCAATGGAGGGATGATAGGAGTTACTATAGAGAACTTTCTGGGTGTCTGGCTGATGAGTCTTGCCCACATACTCAGGGTTTAGCTGATCGCCATATTTGGGGTCGGGAAGGAATTTTCCTCCAGGGTAGATTGGCAGAGGCCCTGGAGGTTTTTCGCCTTCCTCTGTAGCATGGGGTACAGATCACAGCTAGAGGATTCTCTGCATCTTGGGGTCTTCAAAGTATTTGAAGGCTTCAATATCTGAGATATAGGTGAGAGGATTATTCTAGCAGTGGGTGGGTGAGATTCTGTGGCCTGCACTGTGCATTCTGACCCTTCCTGCTTTCACCATACCCTCTCTCCTCATGGCTTTGGGGATCTCTAGGGGGGCCTAGTGCTGCACAGCCTCATGTTGCTGATGGGGAGACAGAGACACAGACTGAATTGTCAGAGTTCACACAAAGAGCCTGTGGCAGAACAGAGAACTGCCCAATTCAGTGCTGTGAATTCCTTTTCCATGCAAATTTATTTGTGTTATAACCCAACATATTCACTTACTCATCACTTTCCCATGTTCAAGTACACTACCAATGTGCTTAAGTCTACTTAGCAAAAACTTTTCATATTTTCTGGAAGTTAGTTGATGTCAGACACTCCCTCACCACTCTGGGGAAAGTACGACTCAGGTGTTTTGCTCCTCTTCTTACCTTGGGGAAAATGTGCAGATTGTAACCAGCCAGAGATTCCAGAAGGATGGAGCAACTATGGAAGCTTACAGGCACAGACATTTAGGGTGTGTCTAAATTACAGGGTTTTGTCAACAGAAGTGGACTTTTGTCGACAAAACTATACCTGCATCTACACTACCGCCGAGTTCTGTTGACAGTAAGTTGACAGAACATGGCAGTTTTGTTGACGGTGGTAAACCTCATTCTATAAGTAATAACGCCTTTTTTTGACAGTTATGTAAAAAAAAAAAGGCGCTATTGCATCCACACTGTGCTTTTTCAAACGACAGCGTCTAGATTCTGTCGAAAAAGTGGCTTGCTTTGTCGACAGAACTGGCTGTAGTCTAGACGCTCTTTTTTAACAGAGGCTTTGTCGACAGTATCTGTCGACAAAGCCGCTGTTGAAAAAAGCCTGTAGTCTAGACGTACCTTTAGATATTCTGAGAACTTACAACACTTGTGACTGAACTTTCCCTGCCCTGCGATTGGCTCCTTGATTCCAACCTCTTTCTCACAATCTCTTCACCTCAGTTTTACTCCAGACCTGCCCCTTTTGACATGATATGACATTATTTGCTGTCCATCATTTTGTCCATAGTCTAGGTCTTTAACTAAGGCATGATGTAGGTGGAGAGCGGCAGTGACCATTGCCGATCTCCATACACCTAGTTCTGTATCCAAATTTCAACATTCAGCAATTACGTAAGCTTAAAATAGTTATTCCTGAATAGAGCTGGTTTCCATCCAGTGTGCTAATTCTGATATTTCAGTATTTTTTGTTGAGAATCAGGATGAAAAGTCAAAATACTGAAAATGTTCATGGAACAGTGAAATGTGAAAATTTTTCATTCAGAAATATCAAAATGCTTTATTTAGAAAATTTCAGTCAACACCAAGCATTTTAATGTTCCTGAACTGAAATACTGTAGTTCAGTTCAAGAAGTTAAAACAAAATCTTTTGCTTGGCTTCATTTGACATTAGCCTGCATTTCTGCAAGCTGCTGCGGGGCCTGGTGGAAGTTGTAGTTCAAGTGCCTCAATTTCTTTCTCTGCACTGAACAAAGTACATCCTGGTAAAATAACTCTCATAATGCACCACAGTGATTCAATGAGAGGGAAGAATGTACTGTGTCGTGTGAGATATAATCACAGCTGGGGACCCCAACCCATAAAGGAGAATGGAAGCATGA